GAACAGTGCCTGGCACATCGTAGGTATTCAATAAAGATTTCTGGAATAAATGAATGAATGAAGTATCTCAAACCAGGTTCTGATATTCTTGGGGACTCTCCACAGTTTGAGATCTCCTCAGCAAGATATGTGAGGTTCTTCACAATCAAGCCTGGAATACTCAATTAGTAATTTTACCAGACAGTCTGGGCAGGATGAGGAGGCGTAGTCCTTTTTTAGAAAATAAAAAAGTGAAAATACAAAGGATTTATGCACATTTTGACAGGGCAGACATGACATGCAAATGACTTGCAAATATAATGCAAATGACACACAACTCCTCATACAAATGAGCATCCTGTCTTTGGAATCAACTGCCTGGGTATTCACTAATTTGTCTGTGGTACTGACAGTAAATCTTTCAAGGGCTTAGGATGCAAGTTGTTTTAGAGGGGATGTGTGTGCATTGGGAGGAAGGGTGGTGGGAAAGTGTCTTTCAAGCAGGATCAGTATGCTGCATTTTAGTATAAAACTTAATACAGTATGTGGCTTACTATGAAGTTATTCTGTTGAGATATTACAAAGGTTGGCCTTCTGGAATTGGTGGAAGATGGGGAGCAATGAAATGCAATTCCTTATACCTCTTTGACTCTTAGGCTACCTCCCATCTTCTATCCCATCCATCTCACACTATCCAAGCTCTGGTGTGCCTGAGTAGAGAGTAGGGAGTCAGAGATCCCTGGCCCAAGGTCCTCACCCTGAGGACCACTTAAGAGCCTGTGATAAGAGCTCTTGAAAATCATCTGAAAGAGGGTAAGAGGAGGATGTGGAGTTCTGCATTCCAAATCTTATGACAAGAATTTAGCAGAGATTCTGCTAGACTTATTAGAATAAGCTGGTTGGTTACAAGAAGCCTGAGGGCTTTCTGAGAAATATTACTGCTTAATTTCAATGCCAGTGATATAGAATCTGACAAAATTGGAAGCTTACTTGGAAATCTAAAGGAAAAAAATGTCAACTGTGATTTTTTTCATTATGAAAGCTCGTTCTTCCCTGTCCTTGATGTGAAAGAAAATTTTTAGTTACACAGATTCTTCTTCAATGATTATAAAAATATTGGGTAAGTGAAATAAAAGATCTTCTAGCAGACATATTTTAACATAACTGGAAATGTTTTTTCTCTGGCACTTTACTTTGCAATCAGGCCTGGGTTCAAATTCCCACCTCCCAGGTATACAAACCTGGGCAACTTACTCAACTTTTCTGAGGCTCAGTTTCCTTATCTGTAAAATAACAATAATAATAGAATCTTCATGAAGTTGCTGTGAGGGTTAAATGAGATAATGCATGTACTTAGCATAGCGACTGGCTCATAGTAAGCATTCAATAAATGTAGCTATTTGTACTGGTCATCTGCGGATTTGCTGCCTATAATCCATTCACCCTCCATCTGATAGTCATACCCCACTTTCTCCTGGTGAACCATCATTCTCTCCTCAGTCCATGTGGTTTTAATGAAACTAACTCCACCCTCATTCAGTACTAGGAGTAGAACATGTGTCTTAGGTTTAAACCAATTAGACCATTCCATACTCAAGGCCATATTGATTGATTAAAAAATGGGGACACACATAGACTTATATGACCCAGCTATTCCACTCCTAGGTATATACCCAAAGGAACTGAAAGCAGGAATTCAAATAAAAACTTGTACATAAATGTTCATAGCAGCATTATTCATAACAGTCAAAAAATAAAACAACGCAAATGTCCATCATCTAATGAGTGGATAAACAAAAAGTTGGTATAGTCATATGATGGGAATATTATTCAGCAATAAAAGGAAGTACTGATTCATGCTACAACATAATAAAACTAAAAACATTATGCTAAATGAAGGAAGACAGACACAAAATGTCATATGTTATATGATTCCATTTATATGAAATATCCAGAACAGGCAAATCTGTAGAAACAAAAAGTCCATTAGTGGTTACCAGGGATTAGAGGTAAGGGTAATGGAGAGTGACTGATAATGGGTACGGGATTTCTCTTTGAAATGATGAAAATATTTTAAAATCAGATAGTGATGATAATTGAGTATCTAAAAATCACTGAATTGCATACTTTAAAAGGATGAATTTTATGAATTTTAAAAGGTGAATTATGTCTCGATTGAAAAAACTAAACTAAAAAAATGAGCACATGACTCAAGCAGGCCAATGAGGGCTAATAAGACTCAACCCAATTCTTTGGAGCCATGAGGGGAGCAGACTAGTTCCCTTCCAGCAGGAGTCCACCTTGAGAAAATATAGGGTCTGAAGCTGCTGACCTGACTTGCTATGTATAGAGTCTGAGACTGAATCATCCAACCTAGCTGAAAGCAGAGTCAAGAAATGGAGAGATAACAAGGCCTGGTTACACATAGTCAGCCCAGTTAGCCTGAGACTTTCCTGGTTTTAGCATTGAAAGTCCTGTGTTCCATGTTGGTCACCCTAGTTAAAGCTCTGAATCTAGCTGAATCTAGCTCTGAAACTCACAAATTTACCTGTAGACTGTCCAATCACATGACTCAATAAATTTCCTTTTCGTTTTAGCAATTGTCATGTGTTGGGTTTTCCAAAGGCAGGCACTGAGACAGAATTTAGTGTTCAAGATGTTTATTAGAGAATAACATCTATGAAAGTGGGGAAACAGAAGCAGAAAATTGGGCAGAGGAAGAAGTCAAAATGTGATGTAGGCTCTTGGCCAGTCTAGCAGAGAGCTCTGAAACCAGTATTGACCTTCAGAAGGTCCCACACTGAGCCAGAATGGCTGGGCCATTATGCTCTTCCCTGCTCCTTTTCACCTACAAACTTCTAGTCATCCTTCAAGTCTGAGCCTGAAACCCTTAAGTGATGTTAAGTGCGATGGTATCTGGGGTATGTGTAGCAATTTGATTATTAATTTTTTAATATCTGTCTTACTGGCAGTTTATTAGTTTCATGAAGGAAGGGACTGTTCTGGTTAGCTATTGCTAGGTAATAAGCCAAATCGTGGTGGCTTAAAACAGGTTGGCAATGTAGGGCCTATGGGCCAGATTCAGCCCACAGTCTGCTTTTGTATAACTGGAAAACCAAGAATTTCTTTTTATATTTTAAAGGAGTTGTTAAGAAAACCCTAAAACAAGAATAATATGTGACAGAGACATTACATGGCCTACAAAACCTAAAATATTTACTATCTGGCCCTTCATAGAAAAAGTTTGCCAACCCATGGATTAAAATAATAACCATTTTGTTATATCTCATGGATTTGTGTGTCAGGCATTCAGGAAGAGTTTGGCTGAATGACTCTTCTGCTTTATGTGATATTGACTGGGACCTCTCAGTGGCACTCAGCTGGAGGCTGGTCTGGTTTGGAGGGTCTAAGAAGGCTTCATTTATGTTTGATACCTTAACAAGATAACTGGTAGCCTGAGCTCAGCTTGGCTCCTCTCCATTTCCATGATGTCTCTCCCTCAGGGTGGTTGAACTTATTACAGTGACTCAGGCTCTGAAAGACCAAAATGGAAACTCTGGAAGACTAGGCTTTTAACTGGATAGTGTCACTTCTTCTGTACTCTATTGGTCAAAGCAGCACAGGCCAACCTAGATTCAAAGGGAGGGGAAATATATCCCACCTCTCAATGACAGGAGTGCAAAGAATTCAAGGCTCTCTTTAATCTACTTGAAGACTAAGTCAGCTCACTCACATTATATCCCCAGCTCTTAGCACACCACTTGACACAGAAACTCAATAAATTTGTTAACTAATGAACACACTTTAGTAGGTGGATTCTGACCTATATGTAACATGAAAATATTAGATCTGGGGCTAAAGGTCTACTTGGACCCTTAGGAGCACTTCATTCTATATCTTTCATTTGGGGGCTACTATGTGCCCAGAACTGTGCTGCATCTCTCAGAGTATTTGAACTTTGGTTTCCTTTTTGGTTAATGAGGGACAATAAAACCTGCATCTCATAGGATTCCTGTGAGAATTAAATGTGAGAAATGTGAGAAAATGTTACAAACTGTAAAGTTCTGTTTAATGTTAGATTGTTATTATTGTCATTGTTCCCCTGAGTGGGGCATGGACAAGGCTCCTAAATCCCTGCCCTGGAGAAGGACCCCTCAACCTAACTCCATTCTTCAGCTCTTACCCCTGCCCGTTCCTGAGGAACAGACTTTAGGAGAATGAAGCAGGATACCTATGGCTATGCAATCCAGTTCTATCTGGAGAAGATTTATTTGCCCAGAGTGGTTCTAATGATGGTTCGATGGGTCTTATAATTTCATAATAACCTTGGTGCCCAATGCCTCTCCTCCTGGGTGTCTCTACAGAGGCCATAGGGAAATGAGAAGCCACACTAGCTAAACAAATAAGAATGATTAGTTGCATGTGACCAGCCCCTTGTCGCCTGAGCCGGCCTATTGTGCGCTCCAACATATGGGGTAATAAAGATGTTGCTGAGAAAAACTGCATTGAATTTGTCATCCTCACCCAGCTCAGAGAATGCAGTTTTTCTTTTTCCAGAAAAGCCTCCCTGAAACCTTCCGTCTCAGAGACACTCCATACCTTTCATTTTCTGTGTGTCTCATTTTTGATTGGAGGGAGGGTTTGTCTGCCTGAGTAATACCTCTTCTTCCAACCTTTCCACAAAAGCTTCTATATGGTCTGGGCATGATTTATAATGTGTGTGGTGTGTTTAGGTATGGGAATGGGATAATTACTTAGAACGTTAACTAGGAATATAAGGTGGGATCTCCTGTGTGAGGTTGTAAGTACCCACATGTGTATTTGTGTGTGATTTAACTTTGCCTAGCCTCTAGACAGCAGTCCCCAACCTTTTCAGCATCAGGGACTGGTGCTCCTGTGAGAATCTAAGGCCTAGTGATTTGAGGTGGAGCTGAGGCAGTGATGCTAGTGCTGGGGAGTGGCTGCAAAAACAGATGAAGCTTCACTCACCTCCTGCTGTGCGGCCCAGTTCTTAATAGGCCATGGACTGGTACTGGTCTATGGCCCTAAGGTTGGGGACTTCTGCTCTAGCACAATGTCTGTGTAGCCAAGAGACACAGAAAAGAATAGGACTGATAGCAAAGAACTATGCAGCACTTATTGTGCCAGGCACTAGTCCACATGCTTTATATATGGTGTCTCATTTAAACTTTATAACCATTGCTGAGGTGAGTACTAATATTATCTCCATTTTATAGATAAGAAAACACCACTCTAAGGTTGGTTAGGGTTAAACAACTTGCTTAGCTAGTGAGGGGCAGTCAGGACTTGAACCTAGGTCTGTCCAATTCCAAAGCCTGTTCTTAAGCTGCTCCACAGTCCCCAATGCAGGCTTTCTGCTGACAGTGATATGGATTTGATGATCTAATGGGACTTGGAAGGAAAGAACTGCTCAAGTAGGCTTTCAAGTTGTCTGCTGCATGGTATGTGTTATTAATGTTCACTGCTATGATACCTTTATAGTAAATTCAGAATTTCATACTGATGTTTTTGAAGGTATAGGATCTTGGTGGGGAAATGGAGCAGGATGAGGGGACTGCTGACATCTAGGTTATACTCCATCTGGTTATACTCCCCAGTCTGGTTTCCTTAGGGTCTCTGATTGGTTTTCAAGGCAACTCTATATGTGTATGTTCGTGTGTTTCATTAGACATGCCAAATTGTATAAGTATGCAAGTAATATATCTATGGGAATGTGCCTATCATTGTATGACAATGTTCATGTATGCGAATGCAGCATATTTTAATTTATCCACATGTGTAAACACATCTGCGTGCTGGGTGAATGAGTCTGGATGTATAAGCTGTGTGCACAAGTGTGGTTGTTTGTACCATGGTGTGGGATTTGTGGCTGACTCTATTTTCCAGAGGTAGCTGCCATGATATATCCCATCCCCCATGTTCTCTTTATAACATGACAGTGACACTCCTCCCATGAAGAGGTGGGGG